ACGCAGCAGAAGACTCAAACGAGGGGTCAGTGACAACAGTGGCTAGCAGACGCGTGACAGTAGGGTGCTCAGCACGAAACCGGTCAGACTCAGGGTCCGGAACGTGAGGCAAAGACGACGCAGGAGGGGACGGCAGAGGAACAGACTGCGGAACAGAGGAAGAACGACGAACGACAAGGCGCGTGCGGGGGACAGACGGCGACCGCGAACGCGGACCACGACTAACGGTGCGACCAGACCGAACGGGCGAGACAGGACGCGACGCAGGCTCACGACGCTCAGTAAGACCTCCTGACTGCTCAGTGTAAGGAGAAGGAGCAGGAAGCGGTGAGTCAGGCAGGAGGGGAAGACCGGTAGAAGACGGAAGACTAAGAACCTGGTGAAGGACAGAGTCAGGAGGTGGCAGAGACGACGAAGACGGCGGAGCGAAGAACAGGCGCGTCTGTGTAGTGTCACCAGCACCAGCAGCTCCAGCACCCACAGCAGCTCCCGCACCTTCAGTAGCTCCACCACCCCCAGTAGCAACTCCTCCAGGACCCTCTCCACCAGCCGCAGCGTCTCCAGAACCAGCACCCCCAGGCGCAACGTCCCCTGGAGGAGGACCCTCAGACACAGCACCACCAGCCCCAGCAGCTCGAGTACCAGCAGTACGAGCACCTCCGGGACCAGCGACGTGGGCACCCCCAGGAGACAACAAACCAGCACCACCCGCAGCGCCAGGGACGTCAGTGGAAGAACCGCCAGGAGCAGGGTCCCGAGCCACAGGAGCGCGACGCTGACGGCGACCGTACCAGTCGCGCAGCTGCTGGGAGGTGAGAGGCACACGCGGACGAAGGCGGCTACTCCAAGGAGACCGCGCAGCAGCAGACTCAGAACCCGCAGCGCCAGTGTCCGTAGCAGCTCCAAAACCTCCAGCTCCAGTGGTAGCACCAGCAGCGCCAGAACCTCCAGGCTCAGCACCCCCAGGCTCCATAAACCCAGGCTCAGCGTCCCCAGGCCTAGCACCCCAAGGCTCAGCACTCCCAGCCCCAGGACCCCCAGGCTCAGCACCCCCAGGCTCAGCACCCCCAGACTCCGCACCCTCAGGCTTAGCACTCCTAGTCTCCGCACCCCCAGGCTCCGCACCCCCAGGCTCAGTACCCCCAGTGTCAGCACCCCCAGGCTCAGCACCCCGAGCAGCACCACCCGCAGCAGCACCTGAGTCACCTGTGACCTCGACAGGCTCAGCGACGGGAGGAGGGTCTACCTGAGAGACACCTGAGGGAGCAAGACCCTGAGGGGGAAGGGGGTCGAGCGAAGGGGGACCTGGTGCGAGGAACAGCGGCGGGGGAGGGAGGGGGGCAGTGCGGTAGGGGAAGAGACGGTAAAAGGGTACCGACTCGTCAAAGGTGACGTCCTGAGAGGCAAAGACACGGCGCGAGGTGGGGTGGTAAAACTGCCAGCCAGGCGCGTCAGGGACAAAGCCAAGGAAGACACAGGGAACGGCACGGGAGGAGAGCTTGTCCGCGGACGTATCGCGAACAAGGGCTCGGCATCCCCAGACACGGAACACCGACGCATCGCCAACCTCCCCCGTCCAACGCAGTGTGGGCGAGGTCTCCGGAGCAGAGACACGGGGCCAAAGGTTGAGCTGATGCGCAGCGTACCGCACTGCAAACGGCCACAGGAAATGGGGGGCAGCCGCATGGATCATGGAGGTACGAGAGACCTCCATGACTAAACAAATGCGGCGCTCAGCAACCCCATTCTGCTGTGGGGAGTCCGGAAGAGTGAAAGTCTGGCGGATGCCGTGCTCCGCACAGTAGGCAGCCAGGAGGGCGGAGGAAAACTCACCACCCCTGTCAGAGTGCAGACGCAGGACGGGAAAGTCCGACTGGAACCGCTGGCGGAGCTGGAGACGAGCAGCGCGGATCCAAGGGATCAAAACATCAGGGACCTCACCCTTGGTGCGCAAGGGGAAGACCGTGGTGTAGCGCGAGTAGTCGTCGACGACCAGCAGGAAGTACCGCTCGTGGCCCTGTCCCCGGACGCGGGCTGGGCCCCACACGTCCAGGTGGAGAGTCTGCAGAGGAGCCTCTGTGGGAGGGAACGAGGAGGAGTGAGGGGTGGCGCGCTGCCGCCCCTCGACACAGGGAAGACAGGGAGGAGCAGGCGAGGGTGGGAGGGGAGGGAGAACTCTGGGAAGACCAGAGACAAGGTAACGGGAGTGCATGCCACGAAGGCGCTGCACGGAGGGGTGACCAAGGCGGTGGTGCCAGAGGACGGTCTGGTGCGACAGGGAGCGACACGAGCAGGGAGCCGACAGCTGACCTGACGCAGACGCAGACGCAGCTACCTGAGGGGACTCAGTGGTCAGTGTGTACAGGTCGGACCCCGGCTGCCGAGTGAAGGTAGCCAGGTGGCGACCCGTCCGAGCACACGTACAGTGGGTCACTCGCTCATAGGCAGGGGTGAACTGGTGAACACCCCCGTCCTGGAGAGCAGAGCCCGCCACCAAGTTCGTAGAGAACGAGGGGAGGTAAAGACCCGACAAAGTGCCAGACGGGGCCGCAGGACAAGGGAGGACAGTGGAGGAGGTCGCAAGGACCGGGCCCCCAGAGGGGTCAGCAAGGGAGACAGCAACAGGCCGAGCGAGTGGCTCAAGGACTGTGCGGTCACGAAAGAAACAGCGGGAAGCACCTGAGTCCAGGGTGAAGGTGTGCAGTGCTGTAGCAGACTCAGTACCAGCAGACGCAGACGCACTAGCACCTAGCGCAGCAGCCATACCAGTACCAATACCTGGGTCAGGCGGCACACTCAGGTAACAGTCACCCTCAGCACTAATAGTCAATGCATACATGGCAGCAAGGATAGCATCATAATCAAGAGCAAAGATATCAATTCCCTTCCTAAGCAGATCAGCCCAGCGAGGCAGCTCAGAGGCGTCAGGGAACTGCTCGCGCCAGGCGTCATCGAGGCGAGAGAAGCAGCGCTGTGTCGGGTGGAACCTCCCACAAGTCTGGCCAGCGCGATCACCTGTGCGGATGACGTACGAGCAAATGCCCCCACCCCCAGACCCCCCACGCTGAGAGTACCACTCACGGAGCTGCTGGGGCGAGGGAGTCTCGCCAGGACGCTGCTGCGGCTGCCTCTGGCCACCTCCGAACCCCCCACGCTGCACCGCTCCACCGCGCCCACCACCCGATCCACCACCGCCACTACTGCCACCACCTCCTCCACCACCCCCACCCCCACCACCGCCGTCGCCACCACCACCCCCTGCGCCGCCACCGACCCCCCCACTACCCGCGCCACTCCCACTTCCGCCACCACCCCCGCCCCCCCCACCCCCCCCACCGCCGCCGCCCCCACCTCCATCTCCACCACCCTTGCCCCCCTTGCCCTTGCCGCTCTTGCGCCTCCCACTGGGAGTAGACGCAGTCCCGACTCCCTCAGCTCCGAGGTAGTCGACAGCAGCAGCAGATGCAATGGAGGGGAGGAGGGGGGAAGGGGAACACCCCTCAAAGAAGGGGGTGCGGGGGTCACCACGAGAGGCACCTACAGCTACAATACTCTTCTCAGCTGCTAGGAGTTCCTTCTCGAGGAGGTCGACAGTGAGGTCAGTGGGGGAGAGAGCGAGAAACTGGTCCCTGACAGTGCGAAGGGAGTCAGGGAGGCGGGTGACAAGGTGGTGGTACATCGGGGGGGGGGGGGGGGGGGGGGGTTCTTGGCGAGGAAATCGGGGGGGAGCGCGGCACGGTAGCGGAGGTCACTGGTACGGAGGTGGGTGATGAGGTCAGCGACAGTGGCAAAGGCGGACAGGTCGGGAAAGAGGTAGGGCAGTGAGAGACGGCCTATAGTAGCAGTGGCAGGGGAGGAGTAGCGCGCGACTACGGCGTCGTACAGTTCCTTGGCGGTCTTATGCTGGCCAAAGTGCTCGCGCTCATCTAACGGCAGGTGGCTGCGAACGGCTAGGCGAGCATGAGCGTCACGGGTCTGCCACTGCGAGCGCAAGGTGCTATCAGCATCAGCAGCAGGTGCGGGAGCGGCGCCGGACGTGTGGTCATAAAGAGAAATATCGTCCTTGGCGGTGATCTGAAGGTAGAGGTGAAGGTCATCGAGCCAAACATCGAACTTAATAGGACGACCCTCAGCGTCAAAGGTAAGCACAGTAGGACTGGCCATAGTAGCAGTAGCAGGAGGAGGAACAGTAGCAGCAGGAGTAGTAGCAGTAGGAGCAGTTGCAGGAGCAGAAGATGCTGCAGGTGGGGCACAGCAGGGCGGCGCGGCTCGGTCAGGGCGGCGCGGCTCTGTCAGGGCGGCGCGGCTCAGTCAGGGCGGCGCGGCTCAGTGAGGGCGGCGCGGCTCGGTCTGGGTTGCGTGGCGCGGCTCGGACAGGCAGGGCGACGCGACGGCGGGCCTGGGCGTAGGCGGCGGCTGTGCGCGGGCTGCAGTTGCGTGCGGGCGGCGGTCTACAGCAGCGACGCGGCGGCCTACGGGCGGCTAGCGGGCTGCTCGTGGGCGGCTGCGGCGGTGCGGGCGGCTGCTGGGTCGCGCGCGTCAGAAACAGGCCGCGCACGGGCGGCTAGCGGGCTGCGCGGGCAAAAAAAAAAAGGGCCGCGCGCGGGCGGCTAGCGTGCGACGCGGCCAAACAGCGGGGCGCTCGAGGGCGCCCTAGGAGCGAGGCGCACGAGGGCGCAAGAACGAGAAGGTGCACGAGGGCACTACTGACGGAACGGTGGGCCCGTAGATCGATCGGTCCTAGGTTCCTAACCTAGGCTCGCGATACCATGTCAGAATGAGAGAAGTGATTGTACTATGAGGGAATGGAGTACAAGTATGAAACCCTAACATTGTGTACCCCCTAAAGGCTAACTCACTGTAGCCTACAGAACAACAACACATGTACAGTGTTTGACACTGCCTACCTACCATTGAATCAGGCAGAGTACGCCGCTCCTTTCATATCTACCTACTTCTACCTAGCTACCACCAAACCAAACTCACGCACGCCAGATACACTAACTCTCAGGCTGATCCATGGCTATCTCCTCCACATCCTCCTCGCGGAAAGGGTCGTCGTCCAACGCCTGGCCCTCATCATAGGCCTCCTCCTCATCCTCCTCGCGGAAAGGGTCGTCATCCAGCAGCGCCTGGTCCTCATCATAGGCCTCCTCCTCGTCGTCCTCATCTGACTCATCACGATCCCACTCCAGCTCGCGCACTACCCTCTCCCGTTCCTGGTCGTCCGCCAGCTCCTTCATCTTGCGCTTCCTCTCTGCTGCAGCGAAGACTGGAGTCTTCGCCGGGCGCCTTGGCTTCTCACGCCATTTGGCGAGGGCCTCAGTCCAGTCGATCTCGTAGTCAAGCAGGGAAACCGTCATCAGCTCCGCCAGGCGCGCGTTGCCTAGAGAGCCTCTCACCCAGGACTTGATGACGTTCTGGCATGAGAATCCATGCTCGCACTCGATGGTTGACAGTGGCATCACGGCAGTTGCTTGCCACATCCGCATGATGTTGGGCCAGCGCCTGAAAATCCGACACACGAGCGTAAACATAGCTATTAGCAAAATGTTACAATTGCGTGAGAAGCACGGCTATACAAGACACATTGTATTACATACCTGGAGGACTCAGCCACACCCATGAAGTTCTTCAGCCCTTGAAAAAACCCCTCATCCTCGTGGTGCACCGCCATGATAGGAGCCCACGTGGCAAGCTCCTTCTCGACTGCTTGCAGGTCGAAGCCAGGGAGCTTGTTGTCGAAGATAGCAGCGCATCCGTGCAGGTACTCTCGGGTCTTGCGGTCGCGCTGTGCCGCGGCTTGGGCCACTATGCTGCGCAAAAGAGCTTCGTTGGTACCAACCTTCGTAGATCTGCAAGGCGGAAGTTCAGCCGGTTCACACACTCTTGTGCGAATTTCGCGCACAGCTTCTCGCACTCCGTGTACGTGCTGCCGTACTCGTGCCCTTTAATCTTCCTCTCATGTAGCTTGTACTTGTGCATCACTGCTTCACCTTCGCTGTCAACTCCGTGCACCTTCACCTTCTTCGACGCACTCCTCTCGTGCAATTTCAAGAACTCTGACAGTGCCGGGCTTTCTCCGCCTCCCATCAAGTCCTCGCACTCCAGATAGCGCCTGCGCAGGTCCCCCGTGGCCTCGTCAATGTCCTTGGCGATCTCGGTCACGTCGACCTGAATGGGATGAGAAGGTGAGCAACACATGTTAGTGATGGGTTTGTACACAGAGGGTTTAGAAATCAAGAAACAAAGGCGGTCATCCTTACCTCACGCTTCTGAAACTTCATGTTGAGCTCGTTCATGATGCCAAGCACACCGGCAAGAAAGAAATGGCAGAATTGAAACTTGTACGAGGTGACCACATCGTACAACTTTGTACGAGGCGCACGATCGATGCGCCGAGGACCTTGCAAAAACGACGAACAGCCACACCACGAGATAGCCACCTGACCGTGTGGATGCCTTGAACTTCAAGGTTAGTTTTGTGAATCGTTCGCTGCAGGTACAGAAAGCGCTGGCTGACGTTGTTGGAGTTCGTCAGTAGAGAAGCCACAGTCCGAATCACTTTGTCAATCATGGCCAGGTCTAGACATGCAAGGGCAGCGTCCTTTACCGCTTGTGCTTCCCTGCACATAAAACACAAAACAGAGAGACGGTTAGTGAAGCGTACCAGTACTTGTGAATGTGCAATCGAGCAATATCCTGAAACCAACGAACCTGTGCGCGATACAATGTGAGGAGATCAGGTGTGGGATGTACTCTCGTAGACGACTGACCAGGCCGTTGTCACACCCTACCATCACCGAGGCGCCGTCGGTGCTGATAGCGCAGATGCGGTTGATGTCCACTCCGACTGTTTGCAAATGACTCATGATGACCGAGAGCAGGGACGCCGCGTCACACTTCTCAACAGGTAGGTGTGCAAAGAACTCTGTAACGGGACGGTGGAAGCGAAGGAACGTCAAAGTAGAGGATGAGGTGTTCCCCTCGCGTGCGATCCGTGCTCTCGTCGCAGCTGATGCCCAAAAACGGAGAGCGCTGGATATGTCACAGCTGAGTTGCGAGAAGCAGAGATGAGAGGCAGTGCACCATCTCTTGGAACCCGTACCTGCATGGAAACATATCAAGACAAATGCGTTAGTACGAGCAACAGTATGAACTTGATTCACTCTTGGCACAAGCGGTACTCTCCGAGTAAGATACACGTCGTATGCCTGCCTGGGAATGTCCGGCGTAACCTGCTCAGACATGAAACGCAGCAGGCGAGCGAACATAGAGATCGGAGCATCGACCTTACAGATGAACTCAGTGGCACGCAGAAGGCATACCACCCTCCGCCCCTCCACGTCCCTCGTTGTGAAATCCTCGATTTTCTTCTGCTTGTCGTCCAGCGACTCTTCAATCTCCAACTGCCGCTCCACTGCCTCTTTGTGGACGTTGGAGTGCTCGTGTATCCGCATCGTTTGCGTTTGTAAGTCGCACGCACCGTTGCCAGGGCCTGAATACTTGGTGGTTTCCTTGCCAAAGGCACGGCAGATGCAGTACTTGAGCGAGGGATGCCCATCTTTGGCACGCACTAGCAGAAGCCACGGGAAATACGGAAGCCACTTCGAGTGGTAATTCGCCTCCGCCAAAAGCCACTTTTGCTCAATCTCCTCCTTCTTAGACAATTTGGGAGGAGGTGGCTTGTCGGGCGTTGCCACAGCCGGCGCTGAAGGGGGTGGAGAGGGTTTGCGGAATCTACTGCCAATAACCATTTTGCTCTGAACCCATTTATGGGTACTATGCTTCTTTGGAACTGATTTGGTGACAGACGACACGCTTACCGAACGGTAGATGCAGTGTGAACAGTGACTGGGATGGGGCCCTTACTAGACAACGCTATGGCGGGCGCTAAGACTATTGGAGTTGGCGAAGGTGGAGCAGGCGTGGTGGCAGGAACAGACTCTCGTATTATTGCCGTTGCTGCGGGGCGTAGGCAGTCTAGCCCCGACCTACCCACAACCTCCTTGGTATTAGGATGGGCCGCATCAGGTGACTTGGGGCGGTCGCGTTCTTGGTCCGCCATGAACACAGTCACTCGAGCACAAATTAGAACACTGCTGAGAGAGACAGCCGAGAAAACACCCTAAACCGCGGTGAAGGGAGCTGTGAAGAAGAAGGATCCCATGGTCCTTAACCCAATTGATGGGTGGTTGGCTGTTGCCGTTGGTATCGAGCCGCCATGCCCGTCACCCGCGCAGTGCTGTACCGTACGCTTCTTAGTCTGAAGGCCCATTATTGGCATAGCCATTACTCTGAAATTTTCAGTATTGCTAAAACCACAACTCTGAGGTGCTCAGTATTAGAAATTCACCAAGTATGGAAATTCAAGAATCAGTGAAAAATAGTATGTAATTTCATACCATCAGACCATTTTAGTCTGATAAAATCAGCCCTGCGTCGCGCACCTCCCACACTTCGTTACCGTTACCACTGTAGCTTCGCTACATAATCTTTGATCATCTTTTCGCTCGATGTACTGTTTTGCTTCGATAGTGCAATTCTCGCTCGCTCGCTCAATTGCACTCATAACACTTGATCTTCAGTGTCAAACTTAGGTTAGGAGTCTTAGGGTTTTGGGAAGAGAGAGTTGGCCAATGAAGAGAGGCTTGCAATAACAAGTGTTGGGCTGAGAAAGCCCTTAGGATCTTTCAAGGATAGAACTCCTAATAAAGATGTTGTAATAGCGGAAGCGTTTTAATGATGAGTATTGAACCACCTTGCGCTAGTATGTGAGGGCAAGCTAGATTGATTATAGAAAGAAAGTACAAGCTTTTATAAGATTACAGGAGAATACGAAAGGTTTGACTAACTTCTTATTTGTAACTGTAGTTGTAACTGCTGCTGTTGCGGTTCGATACAGTCACGACTCGGGCAACTGCTCAATAGCGAGTTAGTCGGTTGTCCTTGCTGTCGCGCTGTTTTTGTCGAGTCAAGGTTGCTGACCTTTGACCTTCGCGTAACCTCCGGCTGTTACTTTTCTGTCAACCTCCTCGGTTGACTCGCTGTTGCTGCGCTGTAGTTCGCCTCGTTTACAGTTCGATGTTGCGACACACAAGAAGCGTTAAATCATTTGTTTCCAACACTCCCCTTCGCTTCTGGAGTGTCGTTGTTGGTGACGTGGCCTTGTCCAGTCAACAGCATGCACTACTGGAACTTCTGCTTTCCAAGTTTCTTAGATGTGGGGCAGCAAGATAGCTCGAGTCTCCCCTTCACGATTTCGTCCTTTACGAAGAAATATCGCAGGGCGATATGCTTTGTCCGGTTCGCGAACCCGTTCTTGTTTGCTATGCGAATTGCTGACTGGTTGTCGTAGAATAAGGAGAAGCTGGGTAACTGAGCCAGCTTCGCTTCTTCCAGTAGTTCACGAAGGTACAAGCCTTCTTTGGTGGCTGAGCAGAGTGCAATGTATTCTGCTTCAGCTGAGGAGAGAGAGATTTATTCCTGTTTGCTCGACTGCCATGAGATAGGCCCGAAAGTTTCGAGTCGGTAGATGTAGCCGGTGCGCGAGCGCCTGTTGTCGGAGTCGCCGGCGTGGTCAGCATCCACGTAGCTGATTAACTTAGGTGTCGTAGTTCCAGTCTTGTGGTAGGTCACGCCAATTGTTGGGGTGCTGACGAGGTAGTGGAGTGCGCGGTCGAGCTCCGCCATGTGCTCTGCTTCAGGTTTCTTGAGGTAGGTGGCGAGTTGGCTCGCTGAGTACGATAGGTCCGGTCGGCAGGTGACGGCTGCGAAGAGCAGACACCCTAGCTTTCGCTAATAATCACGTATGCCGGCGGGCTTGAGTGAGGCGGAGGTTCCCTTGCATTTTCTGTCGGTGTTGTGATATGGCGTGGTGATGATGGCTGGAGTTAATCCGAAGCGCTTAGCGATAGTGTTGGCGTATTTCACGGCGCTGAGATGGATCGGTTTTCTTCTTCCTGCATGTTGAGTCTCAGGTACTGTGTGACGGTAGACGAAATGGTGAGCGTGAGGTCCCGCTGCAGCTCCCCTTCGAACCAGGTTGTGATGCCATCGGTCGAGCCGATGTAGACAAATCGTCCACATAGACGATGAGCAGAATGTAGTCGGTGCCTTTCGTGAGGCGGTACATCCCTTGATCATGCGGCAGTTGCTGGAATCCAATGGGGATTAGCCGGGCGTGCAGGTACTGCTGCCACAGCCTCGGAGCTTGCTTGATGCCGTACAGAGACTTTAGCAGTTGACAGACTTGGTTGGGGTCTGCGTTGGAGCCGTGTGGTTGTCTGACGAAGATCTCGGCGTCAACGGGTGCGTAGAGAAAGGCGTTGGCGACGTCGATTTGGCGAAGCTTCTTCCGCTTCATGGCGGTTATTGCGAGGAGAATCCGCAATGAGGTGTGCCGGCTGACTAGTGCAAACGTTTCGGTGAAGTCCCGTCCGTGCTCTTGGTCGAAGCCGCGTACAACCCAGCGCGCCTTAAACGTATCGATGGTTCCGTCTGCTTTGGTTTTCACACAGCAAACCCATTTTCCGGTGAGAACTGTCTTGTTGCGTGCCACTCCGATGGGAACGATCTTCCAGGTGTTGCGTGATTCTAGCGCCTTTAATTCCCTATCCATGGCTTCGCGCCACTTTTCCTTGTGCTCCCCCCCCAGAGCCTGCTGAACTGTGGCAGGCTCCTTAGGTGGCGCTGCTCCGTGGACCGCGGTGACAAGTCCAAGTATCTGCAGCCCACTCTGTGTGTAGCGGGGAAGATTGGCGTCCTTGGGATAGACGGCTTCGTCTCCCGCTTCTGGGACAAGTGTGAAATTTGGTCCTACGCGTTCAGCTTCGTCGGTGTTGACTCGCGTGGGTGTAACGTAACCATTGTCGGCGAGGTCGTAGTAGACTTCGGCGTTGATGCTTTCGCGAGGGTTTTCGTCGTCCATCGGGACGTCGACCGAACAGCAAGGGAGAGGTCCGGCTTCCTCCGATGCTCCGTCCACGTTTTGTTCGTCCCAGTCAGCTTTGTCTGCTGCCGAGGCGAATGCTCGATTGCCACGAAATCCGTCTGTGGGGTCTTGGTTCGCCCGCAGGTTGGCCAGGTACGTGTGGAGGGTGAGTCGCATTAGAAGATAACGTCACGTGCTGCCACTGTTTCTTTCGAGTGGACATCAAATATCTTCCACGCGTTGTAATGTTTTTCAATGCCCAGGTGTAGTC